CAGCAAAGCGAGACCCGTCTTACTATAAATAGAAAGAAATTAATTGGCCAACTATATATATTAGAAAAAATTAAGCCAGGCATGGTGGCACATGCCTTGTAATCCCAGCTACGGGAGGCTGAGGCAGCAGGATGCTTGAGCCCAGGAGTTTGAGGTTGCTGTGAGCTAGGCTGATGCCACGGTACTCACTCTAGCCTGGGCAACAAAGTGAGACTCTGTCTCAAAAAAAAAAAGAGGTGATTCCATCTGAAAAATAGAAAGACTTTTATAAGAGCAGAGCAAATTATTGTATTCCAGTCAAGGCATATTCATATTTATCCTATTAATTTGATTCTACATTAATAATATGCATTCTTTTTTCTTTGCTAGGAGAGCAAAGCTCTCTATAAATATTATTTCATGGTACCTTGATGGATCTTCGAGATAAGCAGCAACTGCATTATTGATGCTTTGAAAGAAAACTGTGCTCAATGATTGCAGAGTCTTTGGAGAAAGATGCAGTAATTTGTGCCATTACCTGATAACTTTACTGAAGTGCCTGCAGGATCTTTTTCCCTGAAGCTTAAAGATTAGTGTAAGTATGCTTAGCATAAGCTCATGTTAACCAAGCCCAGGCTGGTGCATAAAGACTGAATGTAAATGTCTGGATTTATAGTAAAAATATACCTGTTTCAGAGAACAGAATACTCAGTTATATGTCTGAGTACATTCTCTCCCTAGGGGCACCCTCCATAGGAATAAAGAAAAATGATAACCAAGTGGTCATGGAAATGGAACAGAGGGAATAGTAAATAACCAAATGATTACTAGATGAGACCTGATGCAGCCACTTTCAAACTGGTTAGATTTGCCACTGGGAAATGATTTCTGATGTTTTCCAATTAAGTCTCTTCTTCTGTGCAGCCAAAATTTTATTCAGGGATTTTCCTTTCCTTTGTGTAGAAGAGCAATCAATTCCTCTTCTGACTGACACATTTTTTCTTTAGCTATAAAAATAAATTCAATTTAGCTTCAATTTTAAATGCTGAAGGCTTACAATTCTGCCTTCAGTCTTACAATCCTGTCTTTGTTTTTGTCATAGCCCTTCTTAAAAACAATATTTGTTGTTTTGTACTTTTGAAAAAAGAAGCTTATTTCCCTTATTTATAATTTCTAATTGGTTCCCTTCA